ATCAGTGGATAATATGCCACTTTGTCAGCCCAAACATGGATATTGTCCAGATCTTGTTGCATTTGGACATGGACTGCTTCAGTATCTGAGGAGTCACGAATGGTGCTGAACATTGTACAATCATCAGCGAACATCCCCGCTTCTGACCTCGTCACCTAAATGCAAGCCAATGAGAGAGCTCACTGCTTAGATCTCTGCGATCAGCATTGTTGATTGCTCGCAGTACAAAGTTGACGAGGACATCCCAAACCCTCACGGTCCCATCTCCCTCCCATCCGCGCCCCCCTCGCCTCAGTAGCGAGGCAACACTGGCCGACCCTTCCCATCTCCCTCCCTCACCCCCTACTACACACCACACTTAAGCACCGGCCTATCGCACCAACCATTGGTGCAGGTTCCTTCACACGAAATCCAGGAGTCAGGCATTGTGTGGGCAACCCAGTCTGCGGGAAATTGTAACATGATGTATCCGAAAGAAACCCACTTCTGTGTCAGAGAGGTCCGCAACTCAGGAAACCAGCTGGCCGACTCCCCGCCGTCTCCCCCGCCGAAACCGAGTGTCAGAAAGTAGCGCTAAGCGCGAAGATCTCCAATAATCTTCGAACGGTCTAATCAACCTGCCCGCTCGCTGCTCTTTCAGATGTTCCTCTCCATTGCGTTTGCTGGTGTGGGAGTGCTGGGTTCTGCATACTGCCTGATCGTCTCTTCACTAGGCTTGGTGAATGGGCCGATGTGTCAGACTGGAAACGCGAACTGGTCGCGGCCTTTCTACATGGACCCAGACAAGTTGGAGTTGACGTAAGACGCGCGGATGGGAAATTCCAGCTTAGAGAAAGATCCCATTTCGAAGAAGGGCAAAGGGGAGGGGAGGTGACTTGTTTCTGAACAATGACCCCCGCCCACCTCACCTGACCGAGGTGTCCTGGCCCATGTTTAACATTCTGGGAAACCTGAAACTTTTGTGATGATGCTTCTGCTTTCGGGAGCTTGCTATTCATAAATTGGCTGCCTTGATTCCCACATAGACTCAAGGGTGAGAACCCAAGTGTAATTTGTCGATAGTAAAGTGCTTTGGGGGCATTCTGAGGCCGTTAAAAAGAAAACACAATATATGTGTTTTATTTTATTCTCAAGCTGCAATCATCATGTTAACAGTTATGCTTAGCAAAGGGGATAGACAACAGGGAAGGCAGTTCCTGTGATCATTAAGGCCATAAGAACAAAGAACAACAAAAGGACAAATGAGAAGTAGAGCGCAGGAACAGGCCCTTCGGCCCTCCAAGCCTGTGCTGACCATCACACCCTGAATAAATTAAAAACAAACCTTCTGCCCTTATTCGGTCTGTATCCCTCTAATCCCTCCCTATTCATGTAACTATCCAGATGCCTCTGAAATGTTGCCAATGTGCCCGCTTCCACCGCCTTTTCTGGCAGTGCATTCCAGGCTCTCTCTGCGTGAAAAACTTCCCTCGCACATCTCCCTTAAACTTTCCCCCTCTCACCTTGAACCTGTGCCCTCTTGTAATTGAAACTTCAACCCTGGAAAAAGCCTCTGACTATCCATCTTATCTTTGCCTCTCATAATTTTATAGACCTCTAACAGGTCTCCTCCCAGTCGCCGTCTTTCCAGTGAAAACAATCCTAGTCTTTATAACCTTTCCTTATAGTCAATGTCCTGGAGACCGGGTAACATCCTGATGAACCTTCTCTGCACTCTCTCCAAAGTTTCCACATCCTTCTGGTAATGTGGTGACCAAAACTGCACACAATACTCCAAATGCGGCCTAACAAGGGTCTTGTACAACCACAATGTGGCTCGCTAACTCTTGTACTCCATGCCCCGGCCGATGAAGAAATGGGAGCAGGAGTAGGACATTTAACCCCTCCAGGCTGCTCTACCATTCAAAAGGATCCTGGCTGATCCAACACTCCTTACTTTCCTGGCATTGGCCCGATTCCCCAACTGATCAAGAGTCTCTGTCTCAGCCTTCAATACCCACAAAGACTCTGCCCCTACAGCTGTATGTGGCAAGGAGTTCCAAAGACTCTGAGAGAAGAAATTCCTCCTCATCTCAATCTGAAATGGATGCCCCTTTATTCTAAGACGAGATCCTCCCATCTGGGGGAAACATCCTCTCAGCATTGACCCCGTCAAGCCCCTTAACATGTTTCAATCAGATCACCTCCCATTATTCTAAACTCCAGTGAGTAGAGTCCCAAGCTGTTTAACCTTGGCTCATAAGACACTCCCTCCATCCTGGGGGATCAGCCTAGTGAACCTTCTCTGAACTGCCTGCAATGAAATGATATCTTTCTGTCAATAAAGGAATTGAAACTGCTCATAGTTTTGTAGATGTGGTCTCCCCAGTGCCTTGTACAGTTGCACGCAGACTTCCCAACTGTCATACTCCAAACTGCCCTTTGAAATAAGGGCAAACGTTCCATTAGCCTTCCTGCTCTGGTCAGCAGTGGAAGTCTTCGTGGGGAACTGTAACATTATCATCAATAAATCCAACAAACAGTTTGAGGAGAGACCCCGCTGCTGTAGTTGGGACAAGGGCAGTGTGTGGATATGGTGGAGATAAAGCAGTATGGGTTGGGGAAGGACGAGGGGGAGACGGAGGGAGGAAGAGGAAAGAGGAGGATTGGGAGAGGAGGGGGTGAGTGAGTAAAGCATTGGAAAGTTCCGAAGAGAGTCAGTGATTGAAAGCTAATTTGCATTCGTTCAAACAGAGAGAAGCTTAGACAGAAAGTAGCTGAGACGTTGACTATAGGGTGTTGACGCATCCTACATCTTCCTCAATCTGGAGCTTGCGACAAATCACCAAGATGTGTCGAAAGGAAAGAAACAGTCTTTCACCATGTTTACAGCACAGGCCATTCAGCCCTGTGCCAGAATTTAGGCTAACACTGCCCACCATCTCTTCATCTCATCCTGGGTGGCACGGTGGCTCAGGGGTTAGCACTGCTGCCTCACGGGTCCCAGGTTCGATCCCACCCTCGGGCGGCTATCTGTGTGGAGTTTGCACATTCTCCCCATGTCTGTGTGGGTTTCCTCCGGATGCTCCGGTTTCCTCCCACAGTCCAAAGATGTGCAGGTTACGGTGGATTTGCCATGCTAAATTGTCCCATAGGGTTCAGCGATGTGTAGGTTATGGTGGATTGGCCATGCTAAATTGCCCCTTAGTATCCAGGGATGTGCGGGTTAGGGTGGATTGGCCGTGCTAAATTGCCCCGTAGTATCCAGGGATGTGCGGGTTAGGGTGGATTGGCC